TCACTGAATGTCAATATTGAAGTAGGTAAAGGTGTGTCCGATCTGAGGTGTTGGTATGAAGCAAACACCTGTCTGACGGTTTTCTGCTGGTTCTCTGGCAGCTGTATTGTCCAGTTGAGCTCCGTCTGCAATGACCGAGGAACGCACTCCAAGAAGGTGGAGTTTCCCTCAACGCCGTACACCACCTTCACTTCCACGGAGTCTGAATCTGACAAGAGAAAAGCACAAGACAAAAAACACTAAATGTAAGCAGCCAACTTTTCTACTTAGTGGAGAAACTACAAGAACTTAATGAGACCTGGGGTGAATTCTTATGGTTTTTTTTGGTGTAAGAAAAATCTAAGACAAAATCTTACCCATGAAGATCTTAGTGAGCAAACAGCAGCTCTGATGTTCTCAGCATGAAGAACACAAAGTCCAAATGAAACCTTATTGATCTGATTGAAACTCAGTGATTGAAACAGGAAACTGGAGATGATCTGGTCTGATCATTGTTTTCAGCTCCCTTTCAGATCTGCTTCATATTCTGTCCAGATGCTGCAAACTAAATGTGACGTGAAGTGGATGAAGTGGAGTTTAACTGGAGATCTTTACCTTCCTCTGTGACTGGGCACTGACTCCAGGGGTCTCCATACTTCACATCCTGTCTGCGAGCTCGCCTGACACACAAACACAGATCACAATATGAGACGAGTTTTCACCATCAGCAGTGTCTGAAGGAGAAACTCGGGTTCTTCACATAAAAGAACATAATATGTACTTTTCAGAATATCTTTTTTTGTTTAAAAAAAAAAAAAAAGGATTAGCAATTGTTACTCAATGTGAATTTTGATAGTTTTTATAGTTAAAGTGGAAACAACGAGAAAAAAATTTAAATTATGAAAAAAAAAAATATATAAAGTTTATAAACAATGAAGTAAAAATGATGCTTTAGCAAAGCCATGTCTGTAAATGAGTAAGTAGATAGTAGCTAGCATGATGCCTACTTTTTAAAAAAGAATTTTGACTTTTTTCTCAGTATTTCAGGTTCATTCTGTGGAGTGATGTTAAAGGAAAAAGTCCGCTCATATTCAGAATTCAAACTTCTGAAAATACTTTAAGTATGAAATTATTACATATTGTTCAATAAATGATAATTTTTTTTAATTCAGAGTAATTTTCAT